TTAATTTAATTTAAAAAATAAAAAAATAAACTTTAAAATATATTAAACTTATATTCTTTTACTTTTTATTAATTTTAAATTAAAAATAATATTTATATTATTTAATAAAATAATACTTTAATATATATAATAAAGGCTATAAAAATCTATTTCTTTAACTTTTTTATAATATATATATTTATAATTAACTAATTTATTCTTTTAATTTTAACTCTATTAAATATATTTAAGTTTAAATAAAATATTGAATTTAAAACTAATTAAATCCTACTTTACTAATAATATACTATAAAAAGGTATTAAAAGTATAAAAAGCTATACCTTTTAATATATTAATAAAACTCTATAAAAGTATATTAAGATAGTTTAAAGTAATAATTAACTTAAATAAAAATTATATTAGAATATAATACTATATTTTAATAATATTTAAATATAAATTATTTTATTATATACTTTAATATTATATTTATTACTATATATTAATTATTAAGATTATAAATACCCTTTAATTTACTTAATTTTAACTAGGGACCCCTTATTAGTACCTTAAAAGTAACTAACTAACTAAGATTAGGGGTCTACCCTATAGTATATAGTATTTTCTATATTTCCCGGTGTTGGCGCTGGCGGATGGGGCGGCGTATCCACTATAATTGTCCCGTAGGATCTATCTATCATCTATCAGTGCGTCGGTTGATGATCTGCATGCTATCTGTGGAGGACCCCACCCCCCCATCCCCCCCACGCCTGTCTTCAGACAGACCCCGAGGAAGAGGTTTGAAGATTTACGCATGGGGCAAGAGTTGGAAGCCGCCCAAGGGAAGCGGGATTCTCTCGCGGACCATGGCCGAGGAACACGTTGGCGCGTCAAGGGGCGTGCCTGCCAGCCAACAGATTCATGCTGGCCAGGCGGAAGTGAGATGCAGGCGGTCAAACAACGTTGCATGCCTCGCAGGCTCGCAGGCAGGCAGGCAGGCAGGCAGGCAGGTCTGGGCCGCTTCCAGGCGTCCTTCTAGAAGCATGTTCACGATGCCAGGATGCGGGCCCGCGGCCGATCGGTGGGACAAGGTTCGAACTGACATCAGCGAGGCCAGCTCGGAAAGGGCTCGAGCTCAAGCTCAAGCTCAGAGGCCGCAGTGGCCACGGAGGGGCCAAAGACCTCGGATGCGGATTCCAAGTCTGTCGAAACCAGCAGAGGGCCCGTCGTGAGCCTGCCGTCATAGCTGTCAAGGCGTGTGCGTGTTGTCCGTGTGGAGATTTGTCGGCGTCTATGTGTCGCCCCATTCCTGAGTCGTGAGTCGTTTGCCGGCCACGGATCGAGGGCGAATCCATGGCCCCCAACCGGCGGACAGGAATGAAACACAGGCCAGTTAGTTCATGACTGATTCGTTCAGTTGTTGTTCCGTCGTGAATCGTTGCTTCCTTCCCCCTTCCCTGCACCAAGGGTCCTTGCCGGGGCAGATCGACCTTGTCAGGAGTCAGTCAAAGTTGAAGAGTTTGCTTTATTGCAATTGCAACCTCTTTCACTTTTCCGAGCGACGCCAATTCCACAACCACGGAAAATCAACCAGATCCCGGAGAAATTTCATTTGTTTTTTTTTTAATTTCTTAGTTGTCTCTTCCTCTTCTTTTCCCTTCTCTTGGTGGGTCTCGGCCCAATGTCTTGACTTTCAGTTGTGGCTCGGGAAATCTATAGCCGAGAGTACAGGCTGCTAGGTACCTAGGCAACTAGGTAGATACCTAGTAAGAATGAATATCCAGAGGTTGCCCGCGGCCCGAGTTCTAGAGCGCACTGCCCGTAATCCAGACCCTCATCGTCGGCATTGCAGATCACAGGAGTCTCACTCTGGCGGCTGGGTCCATCTGGAACCTCTCGCCCGGGCGCGATCTGCGGGGTGGCCCACGACCATTTTCTCCGGCATGTTCACCTGCTGGCTTGAGCGTTGGCGGATGGCAACGTTGATGATCCCTCAGACCGTGGCCGCCGCCGGGTCGGATCCGTGCACAGGGTCTGTCTGAAATATCAAGGGGGCCTCTGGATCTGCCATCCCTGGCCAGACACACCCCAAGCTCTGCGTTTTCTAGCCTCCCGCCTCTTATTCGTGACGAGTCAAGCGGCCTGAGTGAAACTTGGGGCAAGCGTCGGGAGTAGTAATATGTAGTGACCTGTCATCCAAAGTGCCCGATCCTGTCTCCGGGAATACTCCGTGCTGCTGCCCCGGAATTGCTCGGTTCAAGTCGAGACACGGCCCTGTCGCGGGGTGCATAGTACAGACCTCTACGAATAGTAGTAATGATGAAGCCACGATGTTGCATTGACGACACATGTGCACGGTGGGGGAGTAGGAACTGGCGCTGCCAGCGCAGCCTACACGTAGCCAGCCGGCTCGTCATCACCGCCCTTTCTTTGTTGTTTTTGTCTTTTTCCTGTTCTTTTGGCCGCTGTCGGACACATACGGAGTACTTCACACAAGTACAAGTGTGGGGTGCCTCTCCGCCGGCGCACAAGTCCAGCCCTACTCAGGCGCATGAATAGATATCCAGGGAAGCCAAGCCAGCCCTTTTTCTGTCTTGCCAGATTGGGCCGGCCGAGGCCAGAGGGCTCCCTGTTCCCCCCTCCCTGCCTCGCTTGCCCGTTGGGCCTCGACGTCGCTCCAGACTGCGCCAAAAATGCGTAATGGTTGACCGCCCTGTCTGCCTGCCTGGCCAGCCCCGGGCCGGAGTATAGACTATGTGTCTACCATAGTACATGAGATGGGCAAGGCGCCCCGAGGGTGCCCGGTGCCCTGCTTGGACTGGTGGTCTGCATGAATAGCGCGCGGCCACCGAGCTCACTGGCTCACTGGCAATGGGAATACACTATCCCGATTATATGACGGATGCCGCGAAAATGGGACGGGGCACAGATCAATCGATGCACACACAAGGTTCACCTCGACCTCGCCCGACTCAGTTTCCCCGCCACGATGATGAGCACCTCTCGCCCACCCCGCCTTGTCGCCTTGTCGCTCCGTCAGGCCGAGTCGAGCCGGTTGACTCTGAGCCTGGTCCCGGTCCCGGCTGATGTAAGAGTTGCGGAGGTGCGAGGGTCAAGGCCAAGGAGGAATCAAGATGCGAAATTGCAGAGATGACTGCGGTGCCGGGCGATGCGATGGAACCCAACGCGGCGCGACGCAACCTATTACCAGACGGCCGGGCGGGCGGGCGCGACGAGCCCAGGTTGACGGGCACGAGGTGACATGACGGCGGCCCCTTTTATGACCAAGCAGGCAGGCGAGCTCTCGTTTTGCAGTTGATGATTATTACTACTGGCACGGCAGCGCGTGGCACAGCATGGCACCGCATGGCAGAGCATGGCGCACTTGCATGCCCGCCTCTTTGGGATTACCGTCGTACACGCAGATTGTCGGTGAAGTCATCATGGGAATTCTGAGTCAGTTGCTACCGTCACCACGGCTGATCTGGGGGGTCGCACAGCAACACACAGGAGTTGGTGAGCAATCCGCCTCCGCAAAGTTCTTCCCCAGGAAACCGGTTTGAGTCTGGGGTGGCGGTGGGGACTGATTGGGAGGGGAGGGGAGCACAGCATCTGTCGCATCCATGCCTTAGGGGCGTCGGGGCGATGGCCCTCGAGGCCAGCGTACGCAATCCAGTGTGCGTCGCCGTGTAGACTCGAGATGCCGAACCAGTTGCGATTTGCTCGCTGCGGTCCGGTCTGCGCCCAACCAGAGGGCATGGGGTTGGCTTGCTGCTCTGTTTGGACCTGTCCTGTCCTGTCCTGTCCTATTCTTATTACCACTCACACAGTATTGTTACCCTGCACCGAATCCTTCCCACGAGCCTAATTTAGACCAGGGCCTGAGGGCGACAGAACAAGAAGGCCATGGTTGTTTCAGCTTTGTCTGCTGGAGCCCGGCTGTTTGCATCTGATGGCCCGGAGCAGGCGTGCAGGCTTGGTGGCGGCGGAACTGGATGCCCAAGGAGAAAAGGAAACGGTTTCGAGCGGTGAGATGCAATAAGGGACGACGGTAAGTGAGAGCCGGCAGCCGGGTGTGTGAGCGAGGCAGCCGAGGGGGGGTGATTTGCCCTCGGGGAGCGATTGGCGAGGTTCCAGGCCAATGGTAGGGCTGGCAAAAAGGACGGAATGCCGCCGGAAGAGGGAGCCTGGCTGCCTGAGTGTGCTTTGTGTGCTTGTGCTGTGTGCTAATGCTGTGTGCTATGGCAGCACGCGGCAAGAAGCAGTGCACACACAGGCGTACGGGGGACGGGGAACGGGGGACGGGGGACGGGGGAAGGGGGAACGGTCCAAAGGGGAGAGAAGAGAAGCAGGTTACCGGCATCCTGTCTTTTTTTTTTTTTCCTTCCTTCCTTCCTTAGGCCTTGCAGACCCCTTGCGACCTACAGTATACCTAGGCACCCATGGTGGCAGGGTGGTGGTGGTGGTGGTCTCGGTGTGGTGCTGCTGCCGTGTGTGGCAGGCCTGGCTGGCTGGCTGGCTGGCTGGCTGACACTCTGGCCAGAGGCGGTCAGGCACTGACTGACCGTGTTGCGCCTCCCGACCGCCTTTCTGCAGGCATGGGGTGGGTGACAATCTCGCAAAATAGCGACCTGGCAGCCTGGACAGCAGCTTGCTTCTGCCGTCCGACCCCCCTTCTCAGCCTATGCCGCTGCCGCAACGACTTTGCTTACCCGTCCAGGAAGCTGGAAGCGTGGGGGAGTCATAACCGCCGTGTACCTGATGTAGCCACCCCGTACCCCGTCGCGCGCAGAGCCCGGGCCAGGGACTTGGCGAGACCTCGGAAGACATGGGGGCTACCTCCGATCGCCCCCGTGGGAATGTTTGTACTACCGGTACGTACCGCATGCATGTACTTTGTCGTTCCAAGGCTGCGGCATCCCTGCCCCTGTCTTGTCATGTTCTTCTGCCCTGCCCGGCCCTGCCAGCCTGCCAGCCTGCCAGCCTGCCAGCCTGTGTTGCCCTCCCTCGGACACGGACACGCGCAGCCAGCATGTGGATGATTCATATATCATCCTGGGGGCTCCCTCGGCGGTCTGTGTCTGGGTCCCCCGATGGTGGATGGATATCATAAATCAAACAACATCACGAACGCTCCAGCAGCAGCAACAACCAGACACCCCAACGCCCACATCAACAAAGCAGCCCCAAACCCAAGACAAACAGGCCCACCGGTTGCGCCCACACTCACACTTACACGCCGCAGCCAACACCAAGGCCACCACCAACAACCAACACCAGCACCACCGCGCCGCAACCAACTCTGGTTTCCACAAGGGGGTATATCAAGGCCACCGCCGCCCTTGACGCCCTTGACGCCTCGCTGGTCAACCGCACCAGCCCCACGCACCACCACATACTGCGCCAGAGCACGCTCTTGCTCCTCACAAAGCCCTCTCACAATGTCCTACGGGTCATACAGCTCCTCCTCGCCCATGGAGATCCCGTCGCGCCGCAGCGCCTATCACAACTCGTACCTCGACGAGTCCTGCGCCTTCCCAAGCTGGCCACGCCGCGTCTCGCTGGGCGAGCACGCCAGCGACCAGCCCCGCGCGACATCCTACATCTCGGACGAGGACCTGCTCTTCCTCTCAGAGCCCGTCTTTGCCGACGAGGACGCCCACTCCGTCTCCAGCTACGGCTCCGGCACCCCATCACCGCGCCTCGCCCCGGTCCGCCACATGGGCGGCGCCGAGCTCGAGGAGATGAGGCGCGAGCAGGCCCTCCGCCAGCAGGAGCTCATGCGCTCCGTCATGGCCGAGAAGGAGATGCGGCGACAGGCCGCCAGGGCCCACAAGCAGCGCAAGTCCTCGTCCAAGAAGGCCTCGAGCCCCCGGTCCAAGCTCTCGGCCATGACCCCCATCGCCGAGGCCGTCGAGTGAAGGGGCGTCGCCTCCAGGAGGCGCCGGCTGCCTTGCTGACAGCCGTCCTCGGCCGCCCCAGGACGCACTCGTACAACGTACGTATAAGCTTACTACCTGCACCCTGCACCCTTCGCACTCACTTCCCGCCGCGCTGGGCCGACTGTCGCACAACTACCACCCTGATCCCGAGGGTCCTTTTGCCTGCAGATCGCCCTTCCATCCCCCGGGTGTTATGGGAGCTTGCTTGCTGACAGTCATCGCAGTCTGACTCTTACTCATCTAATCGGGCCCATCCTTCGGTGATACCCCTCCAGCATCCATCTGTTCTAAATTCATTCTACTTGGCCCGACCCGACAATCCGCCGGCACCCCACGCATCCAACAGGACACCCCCATTCCGCCCTGCATCTGCCTAATCTTTTGGGCTCTTCTCGGTAAACAGCCAGCCACCCTTGCCCTGGACCCCTTTTCTCGGACGTTACACCTTTGGCCCTCACGATGCACACCTGGCCGAGGCAGCAGTGGTGATGACAAAGCCCGAGGCACCACACAGGATGCTCACGTGGCTGCTGGCCGTGGTGTCGTGCTAGAGTCACCAGTCTCCGAGTCATCTGCTTTGGCCTGGCGCTCGACACACTTGACTTGGTTCCCCGTCGAGCACGCGCAGCCTGCCGAGACATACTCGCCGGGTGCGACCTGGGCGTCGATCTTGTGCCGTTTGGGGTTACCCGGATCTGGCCCTCGCCTATTTTACCTCCTCCCTTGTCGACCCTTTCGGCAAACCGGGCTGGCACGCGGCGGTGTGCGCCGCGGCGCGACCAAGACCAGCCATCGGGATGGAACGGGCTGCGACTTGCGGACATGCGGAGCAGCCCTCCCCTTCCCCCACACCGTTACACATTTCAGCCGGATATCCATCGGGATTTCTTTCCTGACTCTCAATCAAATCACCCCCAAACTTTTAAGCTTCCGAGACTTCTCGACTCGGCTGCGTCACCCGTGCCAACCCTGGGCTGGCCTCGGGCGCGCTCGGCCAATTCATCCACACACTCACACACTCACAAACACAAACTCTCGCTCTCGCTCACCGGCAAGGGCAGCGGTTTTGCGCCATCATCCTGCAACCGCCCAGCCGGGCCTTTTCGCACGCCAACCGTGCCGGCTAGGAAAGTCAAATTGCACTTTCGGGATTCAATTTCCACCGTTTTTTATTATTCTTTTGCTTTCTTCCTTTTTTTTACTTCTGCTTGGATACGCGGCGACGAACAGCACAGGGTGACACAGAACATATCACACAAACGGAGTCTAGGGTGTGTCACCGGCATCGGAGGACACCAGCATCATCATGGTTTCGGTATATCAAGCGAGCGATTTTTTGGGCTTATTCCTTGTCTTTCCACACATAGCTAGGAGTTCATGTTTGAAGGCGCACACAGAGGAGACAGATGCGCTTGCCAGCGTGTCCAGTCACCTTCGGCGTTGGTCCTTCTCTGCATCCATTTTCCTGGCATCTTATTTAGGTAGTCTTAGCATTTCGGTAGATACCCCCTGCCCGTCACCTCGAGTGCACGCGAGCCTTGATAGCAAGTCTTTCATCAAATCATATTGATCACACACACACACACACAATGTTCCTCTCACGCTTCGATCTCAAATCGATATTCGAGTTCCTCCTGTGATATGCCACCAACGTAGCAACTACTTACGTGCAAGTTCTTCCTCAAGAGGTCGCCTCCCCCCCCCCCCAAAAAAAAAAAACCGGCGCCTCTCCACCCGAGCGCTAACGGGCATCGCTCCGACATGATATTGGCACCGTCTTGGGGGCAGGCCCTAGTGCAAGCGAACTCATAGCCGTCATCACATACACACACACATGCGAAGCGTGCCTTTATCGAGGCTTTTGTGCGAGGGCGGAGCCGGCGTTGTGTGGCATGAACAGGCAGCCATTCGTGGAACAGATATACTGTTGCCCCACTATCTCAGTGTGTCGTGAAACTGTCAATGGTGTTATGGCAATAGTTCGAGGAGGGTATACACACACGCACAGACGAGGCGCGCTTATGAACCGACTGAGCACGTGAGTTCCGGCCGGGCCAGCAATGACCAAGCCTTGATGTATTTCTCTGCGCCTTGCTTTCGATATAGCGGGAACCCCCCTTACGTGTGTACCAAATCACGAGTCGACGGCGCGAACAAGTATCTTCCCGAAATGGTGTCCCGGGCTTCCAGGAAGGGTAAAGGTGACTAGGATTCTACCAGAGGTATTAAACAGCATGTAGAAGTAACTACTTGGTGCGTGGTGTTGACAGAAGAGCATCTCCAGATGTCCGCCACGGTTTGTAAGAAATGGTCAACGTTGATTAGCATTCATCAGATTCGGAGTGCGAGTGACAAATAACGTCTAACACGCAAACCTGTCCGCATATAGCCCTTCATTTACCCGAGTCGCGATCCACAAGTACCTGGTGAAGTGCGATCTGAGAAGTTATTTAAAGTAAGGACACCTTGGTTGGAAAGGACCAAGAGATCATCGCTCCCGAGCTTCACCCAAAAATCCATGCTGCCGAGCGGTGGACCTACAGGTCAAGCCCTGGAGTACTCTCGCCACCCGAGTCTCTTTCCGACAAGCTCGTGGCATTTGGAACCCGGCTCGCGCCGTATAATAAGGGACGGTGGCCTAGGATTACTCCAATTATGGCCATATAATCCTTCAAACTGTCACAATCGTCGAACTGATAGTGGCGAAACTTGAACGCTTGGGTCTGCAAGGGAATGCCTTAGAGGCTCTAGACATTGGCCCTTTATCAAGCTTGAATCCCGCAAGGAATACGCTGAAATGAATGAGTTGCTCGTCATCTCCATGCCCTGGATATGGCCACTTGCTGCTCCGCATGAGCAGCGGACAAGATTGTCGGTGATGGATTGCACGACAGAGGCGGAAGCAGCGTCGGACGGACGGGTCAACTGGTAGGTTGCCGCGGAGAGTGGGCAGCCGCTGCCAGACATCGTCGACATGACCGGCTTCGTTTCGTCTCTGCCAGATCTGACCAACCAGCACCCTCAAGCGAGGGGAAACGCATCTGTCGTGTAGTCTAGATAGATGATGCAGCCCTGGAGCAACAAAAGAACGGCATAGAGCTTGCCCCTGGGATCACTGCACCCCAGCGGAGGGAATTCGCGCATGGGCCTTGTCAGGCTCCCAGATTCGTCCCTCGACGCCGTAAATGCTCCAGAACAGACCAATGGCCACGCTCCATCACCAGCAGTACGCCATATAACGAAAAGACTTGCGCCCTGGGATGCCCACAACGCAAGGTGTTGTGCTTCCCAAGCACAGTTTCCTACTGGTAGTGTACCCAGGTACTCGACAAATCGTACCGGCACATATAAACCCTTCATAGTCAGGACTAGCTCGACTATACTGTCACTCGCCTCCGATTTCTACCGTTGGGCGTTTCTCGACCGCGCCGGGCCCCGGATTTATTGCCAATCAATCATGACCATGATCACCGCTATTCCGAGTAGCAGTCATCGGGTGCCATCTGTTTGGAGCGCGCGAAGGGGCTGCTGCTGAAGTGTGGCGTGGGCGCCCACATAAGCCAGGACGGCTTTGGCATCGCGATATGCATCGCCCATAATATAAGACTTGGTGGCCCTTCTCATAGTCATCGGTCTGGTCTATCTGGTGTCGCTTCTATTCCGCATACGTCCGGGCCCATATATGGCGCCTTTATACAGCGGTAAACGCTTAAAGACCCAAAGCGCTTAGAAAACATGCAATGTCGATATGAGTGGTAAAGTAGGTGGATATAGTAAACAATAGTAAGCAGAATACCTGAGCCACTCATCAAAATTCCATCGAGTCCACGAGTAGTAGTCCAGTGTGTCCGTGTTTCTCATAAGCCACAATTTGTGACACCCCTCCGCCAGCTGTTCACTCTGTCCTTTTCGTTACTGCTTATATAGGCTCAACCTGGATGCCAAATCTCCGGTATACCGTTCTATCTAACCCAGCAGATGTTCAAAGTACCATCCTCGTTTGCCTTGGGGGCTCGGAATACCTCCCAGCAGAGTATGGACTGCTGCGTTGTGGTTGGGGGTATTTGACAGTTTCGACGTTGTCCAGACCGTTGGAATACACAACAGTAAGATGGACTCCAGATGAAAGAGCTGAGATCTGCATAATCACGGCCAACTCCCCAAGGAAGGCTGTTTTTATCGATATGGTTCTATCGGGGCAACTTGTTCCCCGGTGATATTTACATGTGCTATGTGGTGGACTTGGTCTGGTGATCTCCAGTCACACATGGAAATTCCACTAAATTCCTACCAACTAGGTTATTTCTGTTCATTACAATCCAAGAATCTGCTAACGGAGCTGAGGATTCTCCAGGGGTTGTATCTCCTTTGTGATTAAAGGAACAACTGCCTGGTCTACAGGTCCGGCTGGTCCCAGATGCCAACGTGACACCTTTTGTACAAGACACCAAATCTATTTGAGGTCGGACCACGGACATCTATGTGGGTCAAGCATTGTTTTTCAAGCTAATTATATAACTATTAACTGCAGTTTCGGTCCATTTGTGTATGATTGCAGCAAATCACCATCACCCTGAGATCTCTTTCTACATTGACACCAGCAATATGCTTAGTTTGTGTACACTTGGCGTTAAATAGAGGGGTCATTTCAGTAAGGTCTATGTACAGAGACGGATGCAAACAAATGCAAGGCCGCTATGTTCTGCTGGGCACGGCTTCACTCATCTTCAACTAGAATGAGGGGGCTTGGATCCTGGGAAATGCGCCTCTCCTCTCTTCTCCTTTCATTCGATATTTTGAGCCCGTTCTCTGCTGGTCCGGGGCTAGAGCCCGACTCATCCTGATCCAAGACCTTCAGCTTCAGCGCACATGCAGGCTAAGCGTACCAGGCAGTCTGTCAGACAGACCGGATTTTATCATGGAGTAAGAACTTCATTTGAAGCTGACCTGCCTTCTGTCTTGGAAAGTCTTGAGACACAGGACAAGGCCACATGATTGTACAAAGTGAAAGCTGGCAATGAAGTTCTCGGGACCAAGCTAGGTAAATGAGTTGAGATTGAGTCCAGACTTGAGATTGTCTGGAGCTCTTGCAGGATTTTCTGCAACATGCGGATCAGACCTATCTGGGATGTTGGTGATTATTGTCTCTTCTCTATGGACTGCGTGGGAGTCTCGTAGCTCATACATGCACTGCCCCAAGTGTTTTCACGTTACAAGCCAACTCCAATTCTAGTTGATCAACGAAGATTATCAGGCTTGAAATGTGATGGGGCTATTCCAGGTACCCCAAAAGCCCCCAATTAGGAGACAACATAGGCGCTTTGCTTCCAACGAGGCTGTGATGATCATCTGCTGTGCACTACATGCATGTCCAGGCTGGCAGCTATCAAGAGTCAAAGGAGTACCCATCCAATCTTCGACTTTGGGACAACAAAGCAATTCCTTACTGGCCAAGACTAAAAAGCAGGTTCGATTTTCAACACAATCTCAATGATTCCAAGATGTCAAGTGCCCTGGGCTTAGTAGCCTGGCTCAAGTGCTATTAATTTTTCAGTTCCTATGCAAGCCCTAGTTTCTAATGGGGTGAAATTTCGATGCCATGTTCTATGAATAATTGACCTAAAAGTTTATTGGACTCTAAAATGCGCTCTACACCAAGGTATCAATAACACCTGCCCAGGACTTAGCAGGTTTTAGTGCTATAAAGTTAATGGATAATGTAGATATTTTGTTCCTATGTGAAAGATTAATTATGTGTGGCTGATATCTTCTCACCTAAGGCTCTTAAGGAAGACCTATAATATATATTTCTTATAGCTTTAAGTAAGTATATTTAGATATTTAAGTAGTTTTACTTTTATTCTATATATAATTAAATATATATATAGCACCTTTATATAATAGTAAGCACTTAAAACTTAATATTTTAAAAGAATATAATATTAATAATAATAGTTATAATATAATAAATACTTATAGTTTATATTTAAATACTTATTAATAAAATTAAAATAATAAAACTTTATAAAATTTTAATACTTAATTATTATAATTAAAATAGTATATTAATATCCTAGTAAGTAGTAAAGTTTATATATTTAATTAAGAGAGAATATTAATCTTATTAATAAAAGGTATATTTTAAAGAGATCTTAGGATAAATATTGCTGTTGAAACTATAGTATGGCTTATATATTAGGAGATAATAAAGGAAGCACTGCCTATGCTTTTAGAACTAAAATGTATTTGTGCTGCCCTATCAAGGTAATAAAGTAGGCCTCATGATCTTGAGAAGCTTCAACATTTGGTGCCCAAATTGCTCTTCAACTGACTCATATCCAGAATCTACTGAAAATTCTGGGCTTCTACCACCACCTTTATGTCCTGTGCCATTTCTGGGGACTGGTCAGGAATGCCGAAACCCGGAGCTGCGCCATATATAATACATATTTGGCAGCGTTCTAGTCAACGCCGCCACCAAGACGGTGCTACTTAGCCTTCTCTGTTTGTCGCAAGGCTGAGGTTATAAGCACCTATCATATTTTAACTATAATTATTAATGCCATGTGGTCTTGAGCGCTTA